GATTGCCTTTTTCTTATAATTTAAGTTTACATTTCCACCTTCATCATCCACAGTGCAAACTTCATTTCCATAATTATCTTCTTCAGCATCAATATCGTACACATCTACAAATTGTACGTCATGCGGTTCTGATGGATCGTCAAAATCAAGTCCCCACTCATGTTTGATCGTAATATCGTGATGTATAGCACTCTTTATTAAATCAGTAATTGTATCATGGAGTTCCACCTCTTGATGATTAACAGGAGTTATTGCAATATTTGTGAAATGAAATGTCGCAATTAACAAATTAATAACATTAGCTGGATTTATTACTGACATTATGATATAAATCTTAAGGATATTTTAATTAAACATTTCTCACAGCAATAATAATATACGTACTGCTTCAATAACTGCTTCAATAACACTGAAATGTATTCCAAAATGGACAGCTTTTATATGCAAATGAATGAAGATAACATATGTCAATATAATGAACCTTGATTGCACTGTACTTGATAAAGAGTGCTATTTTGGTCGCACAGTCATAAAACTTGTGACAAGTGTTTTGCATGTTGCCATGATGTACACACACGTGCGCACGTACAAAAACACACATACACACACACACATATTTATTTATATTTACGCGTGTCGTTTAAATTAATGAAAAAGGTAGCCGCAATGTTGGCAAAATAAACGTCTATTACGTGAAATTTTATAATTTATAACATTTTTAAATATTAGTGACTGTATCCTTATCATGCTATTTTTCTCCTACTTACTTCTTAACATCAACTTTATTGCTTTTTTAGATTTTCTATTTTCTTCCTTCCTTATCTTTTACAGTTTGTAATTATGAGGAAGATTTGAGGAAGAAAGAAATGCCATCGTCAAATAGCGAATCCTTAAGTTTGGTACGCGTAGCATACATATAAGAGCATGTTTAATTTTTTTTTCAATATTGCCTTTTCCAAACATAATGTTATTATATATGGTTGAATTTGTCATAAAATAAGCTTTATTTTGGTTGGACAATTGATTTTAACAATTTGAAAAAAGAGAAGGAGGGGGGGTATTTTATACACAATTTTACATTTTTAAAAAATCTAAATATAGCATAATAAAGTACTTTTAAAACCATAAAACTTTTGTCTAAAACATTTTTTCATATCTTTAATAGTTTCGATAATATTCGCTTAGAAAGACAAAAATCAACTTTGTTCAAGGGGTTGTTTCCACCCTTAAAACCGTTTTTGGGCACCAACGAAAAATTGTTTTGTTATTAGGTATATCTGCTCTACAATTATGTAGAGTTTCAGATTTTTTTGAATTTCCGCGTTGCCGAATGTCCCTTGTAAGTACGAGACTGACCCCTTTTTTGTGTGCGTGGAGGTAGATTGCCGCGGTTTTTATACCGATGATCGGAGTCAGAAGCTATCAGGGTGGGTAGAGAGATGGCCTTTGAGGAAGGGGTGAATTGGTCTTAGTGGGAAAAAATCTTAACTATTAGAAACTAAGGAAGAGGTTAAAAGATCTCGTGGGAGGAGACGGTTAGTTCTTGAAGATATGAATATGGAAGGGCTAAAGAGTGGAGCGTGGATATCTCATAGTTTTAGGTGGATATGTTATGATTGGCCTAATGGATTAGGCGCGACAAGTGTGGAGGTAGTGGATTCTTATGAGATAGAGAGGTGTATACAAGTGGCCAGCTGGAAAAGTCAAGATGCCGTAAATCAAAGGCTGAGATCAGATTTTACGACTAAGCTCTGTTGTTAGGCAACATATGGTTTTAGATAAGGGAGATGTAGGTTTAAAAGTTTTAGAGCAGGAGTGTTTCGAGTTGCTTTGTTCTATTGGAGATTTGTTAGCGCAGAATTTCAAATTTTATAGCTAGGTTGAGGGACACACTTGGCGAACACTACCCAGATATAAATTTTAGATTTTTACAACAGGGCATTGTTTCCTGTTATGAAATTTTCCTGAATCACCTTTCATTTGGCGTGACGGCTGTTCGCCAGATGGGTCTGTTTCCTATGTCCATTGTTATATTTGGAGAATAGAAGTTCGAAAGGAGAGAGAGAAAAGAGAAAAAGAAAAAGAATTTTAATTAATTGTCCGGAGTTCTCAGGAGAAAAAGACAATTTTTGCTAATTGAGTCTGCAGGACGTAACAGTTGCTTCACGAACTGCATGTATCCCCCGCGAGTCACAAAATTGATTTTGTTAACGGATCGTTGCGATTGAACTATATGTAGACGCGTCGATCTTGGAAACGCTCAGTTTAGAAAATGTTGCTCCTTCTGACAGATACTTGTGATATTCGAGAGCTAACCTCCGAACAGTTGAAATACATACCGAAGATTGTTCTGTTACGCGAATTTGCAAAGTATATTGACGATATGTGAGACAGACTCCCTGAACATATAAGAGTAGATCCAGAGGTTTAACAGTATCGTCGGTGTTTGGAACATTACAATCGTCCGTGGCAGCGAACGCATATCGACGGTCCGGCACCGCTGATCAGGGATTGTAGTGAATGTCGTCGACAAAAGTCAAAGTCAGCAGCGGTCTGTTGAATCACGCGATAAATGCGCTTCTTATCGAACTACACATTCCTGAATATCAATTTTGTAGTCTTGGAACTCGCTTGGTAAAACTATTGGCCAGAGGTGATCCAGGCATTAATTCATTGGACGCGGCGTGTCGTGAGCACGATATAGCCTATTCGCGTAGCAACAATCTCTCTGATCGGCACGCCGTGGATGAAATTCTCGCTGTAAAAGCGCGGAAACGCATAACTTCGAAAGATTCAACTCTAGGCGAGAGAGCTGCTGCTGCAGCCGTTTGGACTGCCATGAAAGCCAAAACGAAAATCGGCATGGGCATGAAGAAAAAGAAGTCCAAGAAAACAATCCGAAAACGAGCACTTCCAATAGCAAAACGGGGTGGTATTTTATCAGTTTTACCGTTACTGGGAGTTCTCGGTCGGTGGAGCCGCGGGTGTTGCAAAAGCGGTGAATAATAGCAAAGCCTCGCAATGCCAACTGGAAGAATAAAAACGTCACCATCGCGCTATGAAAGATCGCACAATGAAAGGCCGCGGAATATATTTTGCTCCGTATAAGCGTGAGCAAGGCGCAGCAGGAAAAAAACGTCAAAGAGAGGCTAAAATTACCCATGTTGCAATGATTAACGTACAGTTGGAAAAACTAGTGAGGCGTATGCATATATCTTTTTTTCGAGGTGTTTTCATGCGTAACGCCGATAGATGGAGTACGTCAAAACGAGAGTGGTATTGTAAATTTAGACAATACAGAGGGAGCAGGTACTCACTGGGTGGCGTATGCGAAAAGGGGGAATCGCGCAGTATATTTTGATAGTTTTGGTAATCTTCAACCACCCAAGGAATTGATTCGATACTTTGAGAGGGATGTAGTGAAAATTGTATACAATCACACGTCTTATCAACGTTAAAGTCAGAGCATTTGCGGACAATTGTGCTTACAGTTTCTCCAAACGATAGAAGTAGATAAAGTAGGGGGATTCTAACCCAAATTGCTAATTAATTATGCAAAAGACATTATTTATTAATTAATATGTTTTATTTTCCCCCCTTTATTGATACCCCCTCTTTATTGATTCCTCCTCTTTATTGACCCTCCCTTTTAATTGATCCTCCCTCTTTATTGGTACCCTCCTCCTCCTCAGAATTTTTGATTCTATGAGCAAGATGGCGGCCGTGACGTTACGAGAGAAAAAACGCGACGGGATGTAGATAGACTCGAACCTGGGTCCCGCGGGTTACTATCGGACGCTCGAACCTCCTAGACCAGAGCTCGGCAAAATATGCACGCGACAGACGATTTTCGACTATCTCCGCCCACCGCTATTCCCTTTACCTCGCCGCTCCGCGCGTTGCCTACAAGCCGCTCGAGCCTCAGAAGTGTGTTTCCAATAGTTTTCACGTCACTCATGAGGTACTATTGTTCATGCGTTTTTTTTTAAGTGGTATCCCCAGTAGGTCTTTTCATTTTTCAAAAATGAAGTTTGTAAAAAATGAGAAGTGTTCTTCTTTAAGCGACAACTCCTTACCACGTCTTATGTGGTTCGCTACATTCAATATCCAAATTGACGTTTCCACTCTTACCAATAAAAGACGCCGAAATTCGGATTGAATATTCTTCATTTAACATATTTTATTTCGCTTCTGTTCAATTAGTTACGGGTTGTTACAGTCATCAGTGGATTAGGCTTACTGGGGATACCACTTAAAAAAAAACGTGTCAACAATGGTACTTCATGTGTGACGTGGAAAACTATTGGAAACACGCTCCTGAGACTCGAGCGGCTTGTAGACAGCGCGCGCAGCGGCGAGGTAAAGAAAATAGCGGTGGGCGGAGATAGTCGAAAATCGGCCGTCGCGTGCACATTTTGCCGAGCTCTGTCCTAGACCATTGTTACCTATTGCTAGTAGGCGCCTAGTGAAGGTTCTTACAGTGTGTATGATGGCGTCACGCATGCGTCAAAAGAAAAACAAATTCGAAACTAGGCCAGACTCGGACCCCGGACCCTTCGTTTACTGTGCGATGGTCCTACCACTTAGATCATCATAGGTTAAGGGAATACGAAACGTTCGTCGAAAGAGTATTTTACCATGCCGACTTGCGCCGGACACTATCCTCATCGTTCTGAGGAGGAGGAAGGGAAGTAAAATGGGAGACATAGAATTAATTTATATATAATTCTATGTTTTCCAGAATATCATTTATTTGTTCACGGCTTCATACAATATATTTTTTACAGCGCATGCTAACAATTCACAATCAATGAGCGACTCGCGGTCAAAGTCGCTGCTTTCTTGTATTGTTTTTGTTACAGTATGTATATTAGTAATATAATTCTTCTTTTCACGAAGAATATTTACAAAACCTTTGAATTTTACACTAACTATACAGATATTTTCTGATAACCATCCATACATGTGATTGATACAATTTTCAAATGTAAATAATACGTTTAACGTATCTGGTGTTACATATAAGCAATCATTAAAAATTGTGAGTTTTACAATTTGTGAGTTGTACATCTTACATGACGTTATTGTTAATTCTTCTATACGCATCGGGGGATACGATGACTTATAAAAATTGGCCTGCAGAAATCTTTGGATATCAGCACGTTGCCCCATTAGCGCATTCCAAGTTTTGATCGGCAATAGCAGTTGTTTGCCACGATTATCATCAATGACTATGTCTATGACGGGTTCAGCTCCTACGCTGATTCCGATATTCAAATATTTATAAGCAGTTGCAGTCAAAGCGTATCGGCGTCCTAAGATATGCATAGCAGGAGGTCGTGGAACGCTGAAAAGATATAGAAAATTTACATGTCTGAATCTTGGAAAAATTACTACGGATAAACTAAAAGAAACAGCATTATGACACTCACCTCTCGCACATTTTCTTGCTCGGTGGAGCCTCGTCCTCATGTTGAGCAGGCATGTAATAATTTGCTTGTTTAGCGTTCACTTCAGCACCGGCAGCATACATTTTTACTATGTAGACACACCCAAACTTTACTATGTAGACACACAACCGATGAATCTCGTGTTCACAGAGCGACTGAGAGACAGAGGTTTTTTTTCCGAAGCCTAATATTAAAGCTACTATAGGGCATCCCCTCCTCTTACTCTTCAGAGTTGTAGCGCATGCGCAGATACATTCCTTAAAACAGGAAAGTAAATAAGATGTAGATATCTTTGGTTTAGACTCGGGATGGCTTTAGAGATGTCGCTTCCGAACGACATCTTTTAACGATATCAGGGGAGAGGAGAGTGTCTTGACCATGGAGCGTCAGGTAGCTCAGTGGGTTTAGAGCAGTCGCCCTGCAAGCGAGAGACCCGAGTTCAATTCCCGGTCTAGCGACTACCGCACTTACGATATTTTTTCTCTCTTCGGGATGAAATAAGAAGCAGGTTCCATCGCCTAGTACGCCCTCCTTCTTTCATGGTCGTCATTTGACTTGCGCATATCCGAACGTGTTTTCTAACGGAGAGAATATAAAGTAAAGGATTCCAAAGAGCCGAGTATTCTGTGTAGTTAATAAAGAAATGGAAGACTTCACTCAAACCGAACGAGAACTGTTGAAGCAATCCACTTGTCTGAATTCGCGAGAGACTTACGACGCGTGGGTGCAAAAGTTTGACAAGTGTATCAGATATTTGGAAGAACAAAGTTGAATAAAATGACCGCGATTGTCGATTGGTGCCGCGCAATCAGTGGTGGCTCGTATTGCACGACTCGAGGGACTGAAATTTTCTGTGCAAGAACGCTTCATACACGTGGGTGCTGGACACGTATCAAGAGATGCAGAATTGGTATGGAGAGAAATTGATACAGCGTTCGAAACCCGCATATCAACCGGCGCAGTTATTAACGTGAACCATATCGAACCTTTTCGATTTCTCCAAAATGCGAAGAGTACAGTGCTCGAGCACGTGCGAAGTGCTATGGAAAGGCACGGCAATCTTAAGGTTAACACTATGTTCAATGGCGAGTTTATCGCAGGTGACAATCATGCATTCAAAAGCATTAACACGAGAAACAGTGAACTCTTTTCTGCTTTAGATTTGGATAAATGGTACGAGCAACGCGTCATCGAGCTTACTTTGGCATCTTTGGAAGAATTTCAAGAACGTGATAGTGGGTGGGCACTGCTGCGCATACTTGATCTCACAGTCAATGTGAACAAATACAATCCACTGCATGCAGGGTGCAACATTGAGTTGCCTCGCGAAATAAAATTAAAGAAAGCCGTGATAAACGTACGAACTAAAGACAACGCATGTTTTGTATGGTCTGTGGTCGCGACATTATATCCAGTTGCAAGACATGGAGACCGGGAATCTTCGTACCCACGTTACACCAAAATATTCAATCTTCAGGATATTGAATTTCCAATGACGATTAAACAAATTACCAAGTTTGAACAGCTAAACAACATATCCATCAACGTATACACCATTTAAGATAAAAAGAAGCAAGAAGAAGCATGTACGATCGTTCCGATACGTTTCGCCAGTAAGAAGGAAAAGCATGTAAATTTGTTATATGTGCAAGATCCACAAGAGTGCAACATGGGACATTTCGTGTGGATCAAGAATTTGTCACGTCTTGTGGACATGCAACTAAGTAAGAAAAAATGCAAGAAATATATATGCGATCGATAAGGAGATATTCACCATAAATACAATATAACAAATATGAAATAAAAGAATAACTCGTAATATCCATTTCTTTTCAGTTGCTTGCATTATTTTTATTCCAACGAAAAACTGGAGAATCATATCATAGATTGCAACAAATTGAATGACTGTGCAGTCATCCTGCCAACAGAGGCTAACAAGTGGCTCAGTTTTACTAATTACAGCAGAAGGGAACGGATTCCATTCGTGATGTACGCTGACCTGGAATGCATTCTAGAGAAAACGCCAAACGAAGAAAAAAAATCGTATGTGTATCAGCATCATAAAGTACATAGTATAGCTTATTATGTACGATGTTCCTACGATGAATCATTATCCGCATTATCCGCAGTGTCGTCGCGATCCGAATTGCATTTCATGGTTCGTCGAGGAACTTAAACAATTGGCGCATCGTATAAAAATTATTCTGCGTAATAATATCCCTATGGAAATTTTATCACAAGAACAGTGCGCAGCATTTTATAGTGCAACGCGTTGTCATATATGCGAAAAATTATTCGCAGTGGGGGACATACGCGTACGCGATCACTGCCATTTAACCGGACAATACAGGGGTCCGGCACATTCAAATTGTAATTTAAATTATACAGATTCCTATTATATTCCGATAGTTTTTCATAACTTATCAGGTTATGACGCTCATTTTATTATTAAAGAAGTAGCCACCGCGTTCGATGGTCCCATCGATGTACTACCAATAACGAAAGAAAAATATATTTCATTTACCAAACATATTGAAGATACAAGTAAAACATCAGACCGGCGAAGTCATATTAAATTGCGGTTCATCGATTCGTACAAATTTCTCAGTATCAGTCTCGATAAATTAGCATCGTTTCTCACTATAAACAAATTAAAAATTGTTCAATCTGAATTTAAACACTTATCCGACAAAGATTTTGAATTATTAACGCGAAAAGGTGTCTTTCAGTACGAATATGTGGATTGCAATGACAAGCTGCAGGATCAATGTTTACCACCGCGCGAGTCATTTTACAGTTCGCTGACAGGTGATACAGTATCTGAGAGCGATTACACGCACGCCGTGAACGTATGGGAACAGTTTTCTATTCAAACCTTAGGCGAATATAACGATTTGCACCTGAAGACTGATGTTTTGTTATTGGCTGATATTTTCAAAAATTTCCGCGATAGTTGTATCAAAAGTTACGGTCTAGATCCCGCGCATTACACATTGCCAGGTTTCACGTGGGACGCGACGTTAAAACATACAAAAATTAATTTTGAATTACTCACAGATATTGATATGGTAATGTTTATCGAACGCGGTATACATGGCGGTCTGAGTCAGTGTTCCGGTAGATACGCAAAAGCCAATAATCAATATATGCAATCTTACGATACATCGAAGCCATCCTCATACCTCATGTACTTTGATATAAATAATTTGTATGGCTGGGCAATGTGTCAACCGTTACCATACGCTGAATTTAAGTGGGTTGATGATACGTCGAATTTTGATT